TGTTTAGCTTTTCAAAGAACCAGCTCTTAGATTCATTGATTCTTTGTATTGTTTTCTTTGTTTCTATTTCATTAATTTCTGCTCTATTTTTGTTATTTCTTCTCTTCTGCCAGGTTTGGGTTTCATTTGTTCTTGCATTTCCAGGGTCTTGAGTTACAGCCCATTTATTTGAGCTCTTTCTAATTATTTAATGTAGGCACTTAGAGCTATAAACTTCCCTCTTAGGACTGCTTCTAATGTGTCCCAGAGGTTGTGTTGTGTTGTATTGTCCTTTTCGTTGAATTCCAGGAATTCTTTTATTTCTTTCTTAATTTCTCCTTTGACCCACTCATTGTTTAGGAGTGTGTTGTTCAATCGCCATGAGTTCGTGTAGTGACTAGGGCTTTGTCCAGTGTTAATTTTGAGCTTTATTGCATTGTGGTCTGATAGAATGCATGAAATTATTTCAATTTCTTTTGTATTTGTTGAGGTTTGTTTTGTTGCCCAGTATGTGATCAATTTTTGAAAAAATTCCATGGAGTGCTGAGTTGAAAGTGTATTCTTTGGTGCTTGGGTGAAATATTCAAAAGATGTCTGTTAGGTCCATTGGATGTATGGTATCATTTAATTCAGACATTTCTCTGTTTATTCTTTGTCCAGTTGACCTGTCTAATGGAGACAGTGGGGTATTGAAGTCCCCTACTCTATTACTGAGTTGGGGTTAATCTGGGTCTTAAAGTCCTGTAGTGTTGTTTTCATGAATGTGGGTCCACCAGAGTTTAGTGCATATATGTTAAGGACTGTAATATCTTCTTGGTTAGCTGTTCCTTTGATCAGAATGAAGTGACCCTCTCTTCTGATTAGTTTTCCTTTTAAGTCTATTTTGTCAGATATTAGAATTGCAACCCCTGCTTGTTTCTTAGTGCCATTTGTTTGGAATATTCTTTTCCGTCCTTTTACCTTGAAGGATGCCTGTCCTTGAAGATGAGATAGGTTTCTTGCAGACAGCAAAGAAGTGGATTTTGTTTCTTAATCCATTCGCTTAGCCTGTGGCTTTTGACGAGGGAGTTCTGCTGATTGATATTTAAGGTTATTATTGAAAGATGTGTATTGGTTGCCATCATTTTGATTGGTGTTTGTGTTCTCTAATTTTGTGTTTCCTAGATTATATCTTTGCTTTCTTTTGTTGCCTCTGAGGTATAGTAGTTTCTCTCTCTGCTCTCTGTATTCAAGTATTCTTTGAAGGGCTGGTTTTGTGGACATGTATTCTTTAAGGCCTTTTGTGTCATGGAAGATTTTTCTTTCCCCCTCAACTATAATAGACATTTTTGCTGAGTGAAGTATTCTGGGCTGACATCTATTATCATATAGAACTAGAAATACCTTGGTCCAGGCTCTTCTGGCTTTCATAGTTTGCATTGATAAGTCAGCTGTAATTCTGATGGGCTTTTCTTTGTATGTGACTTGTTGTTTTTCTTTTGCTGCTTTCAGTATTCTCTCTTTGTTCTGTACATTTAGTGTTTTTACTATGATATGTTGTGGGGAGTTTCTTTTCTGATCCTGTCTATTTGGTGTTCTGTGTGTTTCCTGTGCTTGTATGGGGGTGTCTTTCCTTAATTTCAGGAAGTGCTCTTCTACAATCCTGTTTAAGATTTGGTCAACACCATTAACCTGATAATTCTCCTTCCTCTATTCCTGTGATCCGTAGATTTTGTCTTTTCATGGTGTCCCACATCTTTTGCATATTCCATTCCTGTGGGGTTTTTTTTTTTTTCAATTTTCCATAATCTTTTCTTGAGTGGTCCAGTTCTTCAACTTTATCCTCCAGTGTTGATATTCTGTTTTCCATTTCATTCATTCTAGCAGTGAGGCTTTCCCCTATTGTTTCTAGTTGGCTTATTCGGTTTTGCATTTCTTTCTTCATTGCTGCCTGACTTTTCTTCACTTTTTCTATCTCTTTTGTGAATTCATTCAGTTTATCCCGATCTTCTTTTAGCTCTATGATTTGTTTATTCATGTGTTCTTTAAATTTGTTGAATTCCTTGATGATTTTTCCTCGAGTTTGTAGGGGAACATTGATGCTTAGACACTTTTCAGTGGTAGTGAGGAGGATCAGATTTCCTGTCTTGGTGGATGCTGGCCTTTGGGCTGCAGTCCTCCCTTTCTTTGCTGGCACTGCAGTCATGTATAGAACTGCTCCTAGCCTTGCTGTGCCTATCTAGAGACAGGGTACTCTGTTATGGTGGCCTAGAAGTCACAGGGTCTACAGTATCCTGTCCTCTGTCGCAGTGTCTGGAGCACCCTGGTTATTGCTCCTGCTTTTGCAGCAGCTTTCCAGCCTGTGCCCTCATCCTGGCCTCGTGTTTCCTCACTCTTCTTTCTTGTCTTGGCTATTGTATAAAATCTGTGATCCACTGAACTTTCCTTCTCATGTATTTTATCATAAACTGGGAGTGGGGGGAGTCAGTCTGTAGTTCTGCCTCATTCTCATCTTTTTTTGTTATTTAGCGGAGCCTCAAATATGTAGCCTTGGCTGTCTTGGAACTCACTATGTAGACCAGGCTGGTTTGGAACTCAGAGATCTACCTGCCTCTGCTTCCTGAGTACAGAGATTAAAGATATGCACCACATCCAGCTCACTTCCCATCTTTTATATCTTTTCTCTGGATTTGAGGTACTGCATTGAATCTGTCTATAATGTTGAAGCCATTCTTTTCTGCTGTGTGTCTTTGTGGATTTCCTGAAGATTCTAAACTATCACTTGAAACCCTTAATGTTTTTTAGGTGCTGTGTTTTGTTGTTGCTGTTGTTGTTTTGCTAAAGATAAATCCTTTCAGTCATTTTAGTGTGGTGTTAGGAGGCAAGCAAGGTAGTGTAGACCCACTGGCAGGTTAGTCTGACTTGGAATCAAAGCTGAGTGCTCCTCTCCAACCCCCAAGTCTTCCCTCCACTACCCTTATTCTTCTATCCTAAAGCTTCCTTCAGCAGTGCCGCCTCCATACAAGTCCTTCATGATCTGAATTTTTTTTCTTCCAGTGCTGTCTTAAATGGCAATAATGGGTCCTTCAAAGATTCCCTCACTCTGGTGCATACCACACCAGCAGGTGGTGATTCTGTTCTAAAGGTAAGAAGGTTCCTTTCCGTTTTTCCAAAGAAAACTGACTTGACTCCTATAATATGTACTCCGTTGAAACTTAAAGCAGCTGAGCCTGTTCTGTAGAGAAGATCCTGTTGCTGACCACTGGGAGTAGCCAGGATCTCCTCTCCAGTTTTGTGTTGCTTCTTTGTCTTTGTGTCAGGGGTGGTCCTGGATGCTGGCTATGCTTTCACTTGTTTTCCTCTTAAGAAGAAAGATGCAAATAGGTACTCTTTAAGCGCTTAGTAGATGAGTGAACTAATGCTACGTACCTCCAACATATAGGTGATTTTGTTGAAATGTGTAATCTGGTTTTCCCAGGAGAACATACACTGTGTGAGAGGCCTGACTTTTGTTTTGTTTTGTTGAGTCAGGGTCTTGGTGTGTACCTAAGGCTGGCCTTATTTGGTTGGAGTATAGCCCAAGCTGGCCTTGAATTCACAATCCCCTTGCCTCAGCTTCCCTGGTGCTAGGATTACACCACTCCTAGGTGATCTGTTTTGTTCATTGCTATATTCCTATGTCTCAGTACATGGTACATAGTTGGCACTAAGTACATATTTGAAATAACAGGCACCTGTCACTGATTATACTGCAGCTCATGTAAGCTTCTGCCTTTCCTGTGTCCACTTGTCCTACTTTACCAATTCAGAAATCATGAAATCCCAGTCTTGTTGCAAATTAACATATAGTGTCTTTGCTCTTTTATTGTATAATGTACATTTGTTGTAAAAATCCATGGAATATTTCCCAAAAAGGAAGAACTATGAATCACTTTTAAGCTTACTATGCGAAGACATTATATAATTAATATTTAGGTATATAATATCTCAGACTTTAGGGTTTAAAGGAAAAAATCTACCCTAAAAGACCCTCAGGAGTTCCTTTAATTATTTTTTTTTTAACATTTTTAGCTAGGCGTGGTAGCACACGCCTTTAATTCCAGCAAGTAAGAAGCAGAGGCAGGCAGATCTCTATCAGTTTGAGGCCAGCCTGGTCTACATGGCAAGTTTCAGGCCAGTTAGGACTCCATAGTGAGACCCTGTCTCAAACCCCTCTTCCCCCCAATTTTTTTTTTTACATTTTGAAATTTATTTTGTGTGTGTGCATGTGAGGGTGGGGAGTGGACATGCCTCGGTGTGCATGTCAAGGTCAGGAATAGAGTCTCTCCTTCCACCATGTCAGTCCCAGGGATTAAACTCAGACTGTCAGACTTAGAAGTAAGTCCCTTTACCTGCCTGCCAAGCCATCTGGCCAGCCCAGGGGTTCCTTTTTTGCTAATTAAAATTTTTAAAAGGGCTGTAGAAATATCTCAGGAGTAGCGTACTTACTTGCCTAGTAAGGCTAGTAAGGCTTGCCTAGTGAGGCTCTCAACTGAATCCACAGTACTACAAAAATAATAAGAAGATAAATTCTGAAAAGACACACAAGTGACTTGGATTAGTTACTGAAAATTATTTGTGGAAACTGAAATTTTTTAGACCAGAGGAGACATGTAGGTCAAAGATTTACAATAAAATATGTACCAGACAGCAGGCTAGACCATACGGATTAGAAACTAAATGAAGCATGGTCTCTGCTTTCAAACTGCTTATTATACAGTGGGAGAGGGAGTTGCATGGTGGAGACAAGCAATCTACTACTGTGCATTTAGCCCAGGCCATGGTATGGGAAGGACTGAGGTAAAAGAGAGAGATGAGAGAGGAAAGAGAACAGTTCTTTCATGTATATGACAAATATTAAGTTGTATTTGAAACAGGAATGATTAAGAAGAGTCACCAAGGTTTGAAAGCAAATAGAAATAGAAATGTATGAAAGAAGGGGTTTTTGTCACATACCCTACCTCAAAGGTTCCAATTTCCCCTATTAATACTAGATTGGAATTGTATTGTTTTTAAATTCTCCCTCCCTGCATATTGCAGCACAAAATTAAGCTCTCCATAGGTGCTTCAGATACTAAAATTAACAGAAAGTATGAATTGTATTTATAGGGGAACAGAACATACTGTATTCTTGTGTACATAGTGAAACACCCCTGCATCCAGAAAAAGAAGCACTTGGACTTGAGGCACACCTTTGTTCACTGAACCTTTTCCTATTCAGTCATAAAACAAGCCAGAATAGTCTTCAACTCCACCCAAGTTTTGTCTGTGTAAAGGGAAAAGCTATATGAACATTTAACATCAAAATTCTTTTTCAAGTTCTGATTTTAGTCTAGATTCTCCTCCATGAAGAGGTGAAATCATTAATATAACTCATTCCTGAATATCCCTATGTTTAAAGGAGGAGCACTGGCCAGGCCTGGATCACAATAAAAAATTCCAAGACCGTGGAAAAGCTTAGTGTGGTGATAAATCATTTGTTGATGTTCGATGCCTTGTCTTCACAGGATGCTACAGATGAATTGGATGCCTTACTCTTGTCTCTAACTGAGAATCTGATGGACCACACAGTTACACCCCAGGTAAATGTGCCTGCAAGCAGCAAGGTGGAAAGGGGTATGTTTTGAATGTCTCTGCAAGGTTCCAATTTTTTCTTATTTAACAATTTAGTAAAACTTTTCATTTAATAAGAATTTATGGGACTAGGGAGATGGCTCAATGGGTAAAGCACTTGCTGCACAAGCATGAAGACCTGAGTTTGGATCCCCAGAATCCACATAAAGCTGCACACAGTAGCACACATAGGAGGCAGAATCAGGAAAATCTCTGGAGCTCTCAGGCCAGATAGCCTGGAGTGCAGAGTAGAGAACCAGAGACCCTGTCTCAAAGTGGAAGGTGAAAACCAAAAGCTGAAGTTGTCCCTTTGACCTCCACATGAGCACTGAGGCATACACAAACCCACACAGACAAAGAGAAAAATAAATCTGTATTTGAACAACTACTTAGCATTGCCTCTCTGTGCTCAGATTCTGCTTCTTTGAATTTGCATGCCACTATAAAGATCATGTCACTAATAAGCCCATTTGCATAAATCAATACCATATTAAATCACATGAGGGAAAACATGAAAGCTATACCAGCTTAAAGAGTTAAGACAGTGAGCTGGTCTTGGTAGCACATGCCTGTAATCCCAGCACTCAGGAGGATCACCATAAGTCCAAGCCCAGCCTGATCTACAAAGCAAGTTCCAGGGCAGCCAAGGCTACAGCAAAACTATCTTTAAAGAGTATTAAGACAATTTAAAGACTATCTTTAAAAAGTATTAAGACAATAAGATATATTTAATTCTATTTTTTACAGAAAGGAGGGAACATAATTAATGATTGGCATTCAACATATCAATCCTATTATAATCTGGAAGGCAGCTGTATGCTCTACTCCTACCATAATGCAAACAGGGAACAGTCCATTTCTCCAGGGACTTAGCAGTCTACTTAGGGTGAGAGTTACACACAAAAACTACTTCCGTGCCTTTTGAGTGATAGTACAAGAGCTTCGGTAGGAACTAGGTGCCTGTCTGAGGGTTCAAGAAGTACCCATGGTACGTTCTGTGGTATGGGATGTTTGCATAAATCATTAGTGCTCAAGCATGCGTGTGCATCAGAATCACCTGGAAGCCATACCGAACAGATTGAACAGATCGCTGGGCTCCACCTCAGAGTTTCTAATTTGGTATGTCTCGGGAGGAACCCCAAATTTGTATTTCTAAACATGTTCCTGGGTGATTAACCCCTAGTGTAGTCTGGAGACCATCAATTTAGATCAATAATGAAGACTTTAACAAAGGATAAGAAGTAATCCCAATCTAGACAAGTTCACAGGCAACAATATTGACCACAGTAAGTCTCTGAATAGGCAAGAGATAGCCTCTAAAATTAATGCCAAGATGACCTGAGACCATAATCCCTGAGAGCAAACCACAAGTATTCTCTCTCTCGATGGGCAGGTGAGCTTTCCAAGACCAAAACAGAGGGCTGAGATGTAGGTCAGCAGTAGTGTTTGCTTTGGGAGTAATGTTTTAAATGTTTTGTGTAGGTTACAGTTCCTACTCTTAGGGTTTTCCAGGCTGGGTGACTTACTCAAAGAGGAAACATAAATTCCTATTAAAATATTGGGGGTGGTATTAAATTTAACTTTCATAAATTGAAACGCTGAGATAAACTCAGTCGGAAGATATTAGAAAGTCAAGCAAGGGCTGGTGAAATAGCTTAGTGGGTAAAGGTACTTGCTGCCAAGCCTGACCACCCAAGATCCATTCTCAGGACTCACATGGTCAGAGGAGACAATACACTCCTACAAGTTGTTCTCTGACTTCCAAATGCATGCAGTGGTGCATGCGTGCACACGCACACATTAATGTAATAAAAACTTTAAAAGTTAAGCTGGGGACTGGAGAGATGGCTTAGCAGTTAAGAGCACTGACTGCTCTTGCAGAAGACCCGAGTTTGATTCCCAGCACCCACATGGCAGCTATGAACTGTCCTTA